TGAAATTGTTTAAACTTTGCTGATCAATTCCTGAAATGATACAAAATCAATAAGAAGAAATGAAGTCAGAAGAATTACATTACTTCACATAAAAAGGTATTAAATCAGATAAGAGAAAAAAAATCAGAGCTGATAACGTTGGCAGAAGCTAGAATTTCCAGGTTCCAGAAATGGCAGGCTAGATTATTCAGATTGACTTTCTCATCAAAAACAGCTCAAAATGTTGGATAAGATTTGAAAAAAAATTAAAAGCATCACATCAAAAAGCCAACAAAGTGCTTAGGAATTACCGTGTTAAAATTGATGGGAACACAGAAATCCAGACAGGTAAGCAGGGGACTAAAACACCTTTGTTCTAGGAAATTTGCCAATTCCAGAAGAGTTGGGTCTTGAGGGCCTTTTTAAGGGTATAGAGGGTGTGACCAGTACAATTAAAGCACTTGACCTAATGGACGTATATAAAACACTGCACCCTACACCTTCTTAATCACACATGGAACATATATGAGGCCATAAAGTCTGAATATGTTGCAAAAGGTCTAAAATCACAGAGATTATGTTTCTTTTACCATAATGCAATTACACTATAAATCAATAGCAAAAAGGATAGCTAAAATATAGAAAATGCTTTTATGTTAGAAGAGAAGAAATTTTCTAATTATCTTATGGATCAAAACCAGCCATAATGGAAATTAGTAATTGGTAATTAAAATACTATACATCAAAACTTGTAGGGTATAGCTAAAGCAGTTCTTAGCCAGAAATATAGAGCCTTAAATTCATATATTCGAGGTAGAGAAAGATAGAGCTCAGTGTCCATCTCAAGAACTTAGAAAATCAGCAAAAACATAAGCCAAACAATGAAGAAGAAAGAAATAATAAAGAACAAAAATAAATGGAATAGAAAGTAAAAAAGTAGTAGAGAGAATCAATGAAGCCAAAAGTTGGTATTTCAAAATGGCTAATAAAATTAATAAAAGCATTGGAAAGTTGATCAAGAAGAAAATGAGAAGGCATAAATGCCCAACATTGGGAAGAAAATATGGAATATCACTACAGATAGGCAGTCTTGAGAAAAAAGGACAAACCTGGAGGTATCAGGCCCCCTGATTTCAGTCTGTAATACAAAGCTACAGTCATCAAAACAGCATGGTACTGGCAGAAAAACTGACACATAGATCAACAGAAAAGACTACAGAGACCAGAAATAAACCCATGAGCATTATGGTCAATTAATCTATGACAAAGGAGGCAAGAATTTACAATGGAGAAAAGACAGTCTCTTTAATAAGTAGTGCTGGGAAATTGGACAGCTACATGTAAAACAATGAGATTAAAACATTTTCTCACACTATATACAAAAATAAACTTCAAATGGATTAAAGACCTAAATGTAAGACTGGATACTATAAAACTCCTAGAGGAAAACACAGGCAGAACACTCTTTAACATAGATCATAGCTATGTATGTGTGTGTGTGTGTGTGTGTGTGTGTGTGTGTGTGTGTGTGTGTAGGATCTGTCTCCAAAGACAAAAGAAATAAAAGCAAAAATAAACAAATAAGACCTAATTACACTTAAAAGGTTTTGCACAGCAGAGGAAACCATCGACAAAACGAAAGACAACCTACCAAATGGGAGAAAATATTTGCAAATGATATAACCAATAAGGAGTTAATATCTAAAATATGTAAACAGTTCTCATACAACTCAATATCAGTAAACAAGCAACTCAATTAAAAAATGGGCAGAAGCCCTGAATAGACATCTGTCCAAAGAAGATATACAGATAGCTAACAAGCACATGAAAGATACACAACATTGCCAATTATTAGAGAAATGCAAATCAAAACCACAGTGAGATATCACCTCACACTGTCAGAATGGTTAACATCAAAAAGTCTACAAATGACAAATGTTAGTGAGGATGTGGAGAAAAGGGAACCCTTGTACACTCTTGGTGGGAATGTAAACTGGTGCAGCCACTATGGAAGACAGTATGGAAGTACCTCAAAAATCTAAAAATAGAATTACCATATGATCCAGCAAATCCACTCTTGGATATATATCTGAAAAAAAAACTAACTCAAAAAGATATGTGCACCCCAATGTTCATATCAGCATTATTTACAATAACCAAGATATGGAAACAACCTAAGTGTCCATCAATAGATGAATGGACAAAGAAGATGCAGTGTATATATACAATGGAGTATCATTCAGCCATAATATAACTAATATTACATAATATTACTCAGCCATTTGCAACAATGTGGACAGACTTAGAGGGTATTATGCTTAGTGAAATAAATCAGGCAGAGAAAGATAAATATTCTATGTTATCACTTATATGTGAAATCTAAAAAATAACACAAATGTATATAACAAAACAGAAACAGACTCACAGATATAGAGAACAAACTAACGGTTACTAGTGGGGAGAGAAAAGGGGAAAGGGTAAGGTAGGGCTAGAGGATTAAGAGGTACAAACTATTACATATAAAATAAATAAGCAACAAGGATCTGTTGTGTGTATGTTGAGAAGCATTCCTTAAACAAGGTATAGAAAGTATTAACCATAAGAGAAACTGCTTGATAAATTTAACTATATATTAAAATCAAACTTTGGTTCATCAAAAAATATCATAATGAAATTGTAAGGACAGAGAGGTTATATTTGACTAAGTATTAGTATCCAAGATACATAAATATTTTTAAAAATTAAAAAAAATCTCCAATAGATTTTTTTTTAAAGGCAGACCACTGAATAGGAAAATGGGCGAAAGACTAGAACAGTGGAGAAGACCGTCTTATTTCTGAATCCCAGTAGCTGGTACCTTGGACAGGGAAAAACAGATGAATGAATGGAAGGAAGACAAGAAGGCAAGAAGTCAGGAAGAAGGGCTTTTAAAACTATTTTTATCATTAACTTTTCATTGTTCCTGTTTCTTTCTACCAGTCTGCAAGTCTTTCTTTCCCACTTCCTAGTAACCCAGTGAGTGTGAGCTTGAGCAATACAAGATAATTGCCAACAGGCTTGATTTTTCCAAGCTTCAGATCAGAGACAAAGAGTGAAGACATCATATTGTGAAGCTCTTCATGGGCTAGGGCAGGGGAAGGAGAATTCACTCAGAGAGACTTCCCCCTCTCTTGGGTTTGTTTTCCACTGAAGTGGAGAACTAGGGTGGAGACTAGCAGAGTTAAAATTTAACTAGGAAGGTAATTCCATAAAAATAAATAAATAAATAGATGTAATAAACAGGAAAAAACTAAATAGTACATTTTTACACACATAAAATTAATTCTGAACCTCTCTTTAGATCATTTATCTGTGTAACCCCTGCTGTGTGAGTATCTGAGAGATTAATATAAATAATACTTTTTCTGGGGGGAAAAAGAGTTTCTCCTACAATATCTTGTGTGACGTCATTGGTTATTTTTATTTCAAGCTAGTTGTTCTGAGCTGTTCTAAGATTATAAAAAGTTGTAAATATAGAAGTGTTTAACACCTGCATCATTCTTTACAGTCAGCAGAGTGCTTTACAGGTTCCGTCTCATTTACTCCTCCCCACAAACCTATAGGTTAGGCCCTTATAATCCTTGTTCTACGGAAGAGGTTTGAAGCTCAGAAAGATGAGGTAATTTGCATAACACATGTCAGTGGCAGAGTCAGACTCAAAAACAAGATCTTGCAGCTCCAAGTCCTAGGCTTCTTACAAGGGATTTAGTAAGCAGATTTTCCTCACATATGAATGACTGTTTGGCGTTCATTATATAAACCAATGGAGGTTGAAAGAAATGGTGAAAGTTTAATGATGCTAAACATCTGTAAATGCAATGTCTTAAAAATAATGAGAACAGAAAATCCATAGTTCTGTAGGTTTTTCAATCTGTTGAACATCAAATCATATTTCCCAGTGAACCATCTGTCTTCAAATTTGAAGCTTCTGTCCGTTTAAGAAGCCCCTTCGTTAGTGAACCAAGAAGTACATGTATTGGAATTAACCAAATACACACACGTCTGTGGCTATATATGTACGGTTTTGGTTTAAGATATTATGCCTTCTCCTCAGGATGAACTTTGATGGAAAAAGTCAATCAAAATAATGTTGTTGAGTAGATGGGAGAGTTAATGCCTTATCCAGTTTCATTCAAGACTCAAAGGATCCTGAACAAAGGCTGTGACATTTTCTCTCTATTCTCTGCTGTATCTCTTTAGCACTTTCTTGTCCTCCTTTCTGGCCAGTCAAGGGTTTAGCCAGACTTGACCAAGAAGAGAACGTGTATTGTTCCTGACACGGGGAGCTTTTAGTTTTATTAGAACATCCAAGAAGATCAGGGCTTTATATTCAAATTTGAAAGACAGATTTGAAATTTGCCCACTGATGAATAACTCCCATTTTTCCAATGGATGGTTAGTTTGGGTTTGTACAAAGAGAAAAGTGTGGGGAGTCTGGGGCAAGGCTGTGTGTCATGCCTGTGAAGTTACTGCTCTTTAAGGCGGTCCACAGGATGTTGGGGGCAGCCCAGGCCTGCACAGGAGGACAGGGACAACAGTGACAGGAGCCACATCAGTATTATAGTAGAACAGAGGATCAAGTCAGAATGCAGAACCAAGGGATCATGGCTTCAGGGAAGGGTCCATACATCCCTAGCCTGGATCACAGTGGTAGTATAAACTCTGATTGTAGAAATAATCCATGAATCATTTTTTACAGAAATTCATTACCTTACATACTTGCCTAGAATGACAGCCATGTACATCTTTTCTGTACGGCCACACAATTTTCTGAAATCTTCCTGATGTTTCAAACCCTTAGGTTGTCCCATCAGGGCAAGAGAAGCTCTAAAAACAGATGTAAACTTACAGGTTTCATTAGATCCTGCTTCAACCAGATGATCTGTGAAAATATGATCCTTGGAAGAGCCCCCTGTTATACCATATCCTTGGAGTGATTCTCAGATGTTCCCAGTCATGCCCTCTGCCTTCCTCTTCCCTAGGCTTGCGCCAGGGCAACGACCACGGCTCTCAGTACCGCTCTGCCATCTACCCGACCTCTGCTGCGCACATGGAGGCAGCCCTGAGGTCCAAGGAGGACTACCAGAAGGTAGGGTCCCCCTTCTCCCTCCTGGGAACCCCCTGCAGAGGGAGAGTACTCTTCTTGTCACCTGGCACTGTGTTCCATTTGCACGTGGTTTGGAAGTTTCTCTCAGCCTCTAGGAACACAGCCCCTCTGCTCCACAGAAGCGCTAAATGAGCAGACCCTGATGCATTTCTCTTTGAAATCAACTCATCTGGATGAACATACATAGCTTAACACTTAGTCTCTCTGTCTCCTTCTGAGTCTGTCTCTTTTTTCTTCTCTCTGAATAAGTCTGCTCGGGCAGCGATAAAGTGTGACAGACTCGGGGCTGAGATGACAGAAATCTGCTGTCTCATGGTTCTGGAGGCTGGGAGTTCAAAATCACGGCGTTGGCGGGGCTGGTTCCTTCTGAGGCTGCGAAGGCGCGACCTGCTCCAGGCCTCTGTCCTTGACTTGTAGACGGCCGTCTTCTCCCTGTGTCTTCACATCAGCTCCCCACTATGCACACCTGTTTCTGTGTCCAAATTAGCTCCTTTTATGACAACTCCAGTAGCATTGGATCAAGGCCTTACCTAGTGACCACATTTGAGCTCGGTTACCTCTATGCTGAGGTCCTGGGAGTTGGGATTCCAACATATCTTTTTGGGGAAACACAGTTCAACCCATAGCGCTGTCTCTCTTGCTAGTAACAGTGGATTGAATTATAATAAAAATACTTCTCAGGAATGTAAACATTACCTCATGAAATAATTATTTTCACTATTAATTTGTATTATATTTAAAAAATCTCCTCTAATTCAGAGATTCAGTTCTTTTAAAAATAACTAGAGTTGCTTTAATTTTCAGAACTTAGTGATAATGTTTAAATTTTAGTTATCTTTATGTTTTCTGATTTGGATCCATGTTTAACAATAGAGCCAGGAGCGACTGTAATACTGCTATAATTTTAGAATTATGTAAAAAGTCTGCTATGCCTCAGTCCCCAGAAATGTGTGGGTTCTCCACCCATCACTATGGTGGCAGAGGTGGCAGGGGGCAGGAGGCAGGGACAAAAGTGTATCTACTGAGAAAAAGTAGCAGGACATGCAACTCATGGTCAGTTCAACTCCAGAAACAGAGAAGGCTGATGGGGTTGCTCACAGAGCCCCATTTATTCCTCGGCACGTCCCCCTCCATCCCTCCAAGGCTGTGGTGTCTGCATAGGTGATTGCAGTAGGCAGCCTGGAGGATGGCCCTCAGTGGCCTCTGCCTGTGTGAAATCCCCTCTCCTTGAGTGTGGGCTGGACTTAATGACTCACTCCTAATGAACGGCAGGAGTGATTGGATGTTATTTCTGAGACGAGTTTCTGGCAGGACTGTGGCTTGCATCTTGGGCGCCCTTTCTCTCTCACTGTCTCTTGGATCACTTGCCCTGGGGGAAGCCAGCTGTGGTGTTGTGAGGCAGCCTGTGTAAAGGCTCACGTGGCAAGGGTCCGAAGTCTCTCAGAACCATGGGAGCAGGCTTGGAAGTCCCCAGCCCCAGTCAAGCCTTCAGATGAGGCTGTAGACCTGGTTTGACAGTTTAACCACAACCTCAAGGTGGACCTCAAACCAGAGGCACCCAGCTGAGCTGTGCTGCAGAGGCTGCAAGGAAATAAATCTTTTGAAGGAACTGCTAAGTTTAGGAGTCATTTGAGTATGTTTATATTTCCATTCTAAACTGAATTATCCTTCCTCATGTCTTCTTATGGTGATTTTTTTGATGATGGTGGGCTCACCTGGGCATGTGTGCTGGTAGTTAAGCATTCAGCCTCCAGCCTTGAATTGCCTCAATTTGTAAGTCAGCTGCTTAACTTCTTAGCAAGTGCCTGACACTTAGAAAGCCATGTATCACAATTACCTCAGGCAGACACATAAGGATGAGAGACCTCTGTCACAGGACTCCAGGGCAGAAATGATGGCAGCTTTGTGTAGGATGGTGGGAGTATGAATGCAATGGAGGATATTTGGGAAGTAGAACTGATGGGACTTGGACCTTGATTGGAAGTGGAGGATAAATGAGAGGAAGGGGTCCAGGGTGACTTACAGGTTGCTGGCTAGTGATGTTTTGTATGAAGATAGGGAGGGGCAGAGGCAGTTGGTGGGGAAGGTAAGTTTAGTTTGGAAATGTGGAGTTTAAGGTGGCCCTGATAGGTGCATGCACAAGGCTGTTACGAGGTGACATGGGCTGGTCCCACCTTGCAGGGAGGGTTACTGTGACTGTTAACTGGCTTAATGCTGGTAAAGCACATAGTAAGTGCTCAATAAATGGTAACCTTTCTTACTATTGGGATTATCAACTTATATTTGGTAAACAATGCCTTAGTTGCTGGTATGATCACTTAGGAAGAGTGGAAAGTGATGAGAAGAGAGGCTTAGGACCTGAGGAACACCAACATTTGAGAGATGGGGAGGGGTGTGCCTACACTAGACGAGACGTGCGGCAGGCTCCATACAGAATCAACCCCAGGCAAAAACTTAGAATCTAGTTCTATTTGGTTTAACCTAACTATATTTAATTATAGAGCCTATGTTTGTAATTAATACTTAAAGTTACATATGACCAGTGCTATATATAGATTTCCTAATATGATTCACAGTCTCTTAAGTTACAAATAGTAACACTTAGAAACTCTGGGAGGGTATTGACTTCTCTCCAGAATATCTCAAAACAAGGTGACCCTCTGGTGTTCACAGTGGAGATTTTAAGTTCAGAAGGTCAGTGCCTTCCATGTGATGATGAAGAGACTAACTTAGACCTAACGTTCTGGTTTCTACCCCCATATAGTTTCTTATCCTTCCTCTGATTTGAGATAACTGATACACCTATGAAATATCTAAAAATTAGATAGTAAATATTGTTTTCATTGTTTCTCCATTATTTTTGTAGATTTGGGGAATCTTAATCTTATATTCTAAATAGTTGTTCTAACCTTTTGGATGTTCTGTACTTAAGCATATGGAAATGAAATACATTCATACATATACATTTTTTTTACTTGACTTTTAAAAGTCAGGTCCGTTTTTAAAATAAAGCTCAGGCTCTCCTGTGCTCCCAACAACCAGATATCCATTGCTCTTAACATAACCACGTGTGACGGCTGTATCACACCTCAGAGAGCAAATACTGTCGTGTCTCCTTAATTTTATGCATAAATAAATCTAGCCCTGGATCCTACTGATAGGTGAGTAGAAAGTCTAGTACTTCTCTCCTGGCAAACTGTCTAACACCCAGAGAGTCCTGGCCCTAGACCAGCGCCTCTGTACGACCCTCTGCCCAGTGGCAGTGGCCTCTTCTGCAGTGCCCGGCAGTGGCCGCCAGCCGCATACGGCTGTCGATCACTTGAAATGTGGCTCATGTGACTGAGGAACTGAATACTTTATTTACAATGTGTCAATTTCCGGCACACAGCATAAATGTCTCAGTCATGCATATACATTCAGATATTCATTTTCAGATTCTTTTCACTAAAGGTTATTAAAAGATATTGAATGTAATTCCTTGTACTACACAGAAGAAATTTGTTTTTTAATCCATTTTTATATATAGTGGTTAACATTTGCAAATCTCAAACTCCCAAATTTATCCCTTCCCACCCCCTTTCCCCGGTAACCATTAGATTGTCTACCATGTCTGCAAGTCTGTTTCTTTTGTAGGTGAGTTCATTAGTGTCCTCTTTTTCATGCATTTTTATACACATTGTTTACTCCTTTAAGAGCTGGCATTTCTGACCCTGTCACCATATTCAGGGAATTCATCTTGTTTGAGCCCTGGTGGGACCCCCCTGCACTAACGCTAACATTGACTTCGGTTACTAATTTAATAGTCGTCACTAGTTTGCCCCCAGTGACCCCCAGGAACCAGCTTCTTCAGCAACTTTTCTCTGCTTCATGAAGTTGAGAGTGACAGTATTGCTTACCACGGCGCAGCCATTTGAACATAAAATTAGCTGATTTTATCACAGGGACCAATTGTTGAGCTAATTAGATGTGCAGTAGTGCTGATGAGCCAGAAACCCAAAGTGATTTTCCATCTAAACTGTGGTTTCCTGCAAAGTTGGCTGGGTTGTAGATACCAGGCTCCCTGACAACGCTAGGAAAGGAAGGGAGGCTGAAGGAGTTTGCTCGTTTATGCTCAGAGTAGGGAGGCTGGAGATGCTTACAGAAGAGGATCAGAGTGGCGTGTCAACTTCACACTGGGTTCCTTGACCTTGAAAGGGCGGGATTCTGTTCACAGAACTTGACAGCTGCTTTGTGGCTTTGGTGAGCTGCAGACTTAGCACAAAATGTGGGCTGTTCTTGCCTTGGAATGAAGACTTTGTAATCTTTTGTTAACGTCATTTTCATATTTTCTCCTCAGAGTCTCACAGTGGAATTATTTGCTTATGGTATTATGGAAGAGATAATTGGGTGTAATATTAATTGTCTTTGGATCATCAAATGTAGACAGTTTACCTCTCAAGTGAACCTGTGATGACAAACATTTTCTAATATTCTAAACTGGATTGTGGCATCTGACCGGATGTGGGTTGTTCATGTGTGATTCTCAGGTCCTGAAAAGTAAACTCTTCCTCATTTAGGAATTAAGCCTTTTGATCACTGATAGATTAAGTCTCCTGAAATTTGATAGAGAATTAATAAATCTTCAGATTTTTCTGGCCACATGCCTTACTTCCTTCCCAACTCCTGGAGGTTTCATGAATAGTAAGCACAACCTTTCCCCTGGATGACCTTTTTGGGTGAATGTTAAATTACCTACCATATGTCAAATGTAAGATAGTGCCTGAATATCTGTCTCTGTCTCTCAGCATGTTTGTTCATCCGTCCAGCCACCTACCCACCTATCCATCCATCCATCCATCCATCCATCCATCCATATCTTCAACATAGCTATAATCTCTAAGTATTTACCATGTTGTATCTTGAAATATAATTATCCAGCAGTCTGTCATCTGTTATCTATACTCTATACAATGTCATTTTAAAGAAAAGTACCCAAAGTGAAA